CGTACGCTCTCCAGTTAGCCCCCTGCCCCAATGCAAGCAGAGGAGATTTTTCTTACTAAGATTCCAATGCACAAACTTTAAATTGAGCAAGCCTATTTTCAACAAATGGCTTGTAAGTATCAAGCACCTTTTCCAACAAAAACTGATTCATTCTCAATACCCAACTTCTATGTCCTACAACCACTACATATTTTACTGTTTTACTGCTTTACAATAACACAAACGCGACTATAACACAAAGAAAATGAAAAATGTCACAAAATCAGTCAAAAACACAATCGTGGGTTTCTTCTTCACGCAATTCACATTCAACAAAAGCTCAATTATTTACAGAAAACATTCATTTCAATGAAAATTTTATATGAAAAAAATTGAATACGCACATGGAACGAGAAGCCGAAAAGGATTTACGGGCTGATTCAGGGCCTCCGTTACTAGCGTCAGAGGATTTCTTCTTGTCCTGCAACGATGTGTTCGTCAATGACAGACTTCTTCTAGAAGAACCGCCTTGACTAGCCATCGTCGCCTTTAATCAAACACCAATTTATTATCCTGCAGCAAAAAATCATTATCGCATTATAAAATCTAAATAATTATTGTTCAAAATATGAAAATATTTGACGAATTTCATTTCCAAATTAAAGGCCTGCCCAAAATAGAAGCTCCTGCACAATTAATTCTGAGGCTCATCGTTTACGACCTTTCGAAATGAAGAAATAAGGAAAATATCGCATTCAACGTATTATTTTTCTCGGACACCAAACGGAGATAGAAACTCACCGGACTTCTTTTGCACCCCTTCTTTTTCTCCTCAATAAACAGAAAAGAAAGACGGCTTCAGAATCGTAAATCAGAAAACCTCAACAAAAATCACAGCTTAGCCATTGGCCATGGCCCGGGCAATGGAGCTACAAGAAATTGGATTGGATTGGATTGGATTGGAATTGGATGGGATTGGAGGCGGTCAAGATTGAAGGGTTTGAAAACTCTTCAGCAAAATGAAACACTCGCGGTCGGGAATCTGGTCAGAAAATCGGAATTTTCCGGGAAAATACACCGACCGGCGAGAGTGAATGAGACTCAGAGAGAGAAATACCCTAAAAAATGGGACAATGAGATAGTGGGCCAATCAAAACCGTGCACGTCAACGCTTTTCTAACAGAAGTTTTCAAATTACCTCCAAATTTACTGGCGCTTTTTTGAGGCCTCCCAAATATTTTTGTTGTAAGATTCTAATTAAGGTCACAAATAAATTGTAAACTTACGGTTTTAGCCTCGTCTTATCTCTCTGGCATCTCTAGTATGGGTACAGTCTGGTCATTTCATATGAAATTAGGAGAGGTCCTGGAAAATGCCAATATATATTTCTATGTTTGGCTTACAATGTTGTCACGCTTCAAATCATATACTAACATAGTCAACTCCCGCATGCCCAAAATTTTGGTTTCACTTGCATCAATTCAAGAAATCATTTTTTCTATAATTAAAAACTGTCCAAGTGTCAAAATTTTGAAGCCAAAATAAGGTTGGTGTTAGTTTTTCGGCCCTTGTATAGTTTTTAATTGTGGTGGTATATCTATCGAAAAAGTCAAGCAAACCCAAGTAGAGTCTCTAAATCTTGCACGAAGAATGTTACACATAAATATTCATTGGGTGCTTGGGGGTTTCGAACTCTGCCCATAGGGGTGGAGGTGAAATACCTCAATCAACTGAGCTATAGTGTAACTTTTTATATAATTTAGCTTTTAGTTCTTACTTCTCAAATTTTCAAGTTCGAATCCCTTCATCCCCATTAATTTAAAAAAGACTTTTCAAGGTATAGAAAATGTAACTTTGCGCTTAAATACTTCGGATTTCCCAGCATAATATGATATGATGATCAAGATGCTAAATTCTAGTAGTAAGGTTTATGCAAGGCATCAATGGATGCATTTCTTTAGATAAAAGAAAAAAATAGGCATATTGCGTGAGAATTTTGCCCTAGTATGCTTTAGAATCTACAAGTTCCCCTCCAGAAGTAGCAGTATTGAATTTGTTATGCAACCCTGAAATATATAAAGGAAACAGCAGATGCGCAGTTACCTTGGAGGCTTTGGAGTTTGGATGCTACACTATATGGTGCGACCTTTCATGTTGGACCTGAAATCAAATCACACCATGAAAAAATAAATAAAAATATATATATTTAGGCCAGAAGAAAAGAGAGTTAAAGGCTTACACAACACTTTAAAGCAAGCATTCTTTGAGCTAAAATAAGTTCCTAAGAATCCACTTTTTTCTTTCAAATGTGTTGTATAAAACTGTTTGTGCCTTATGGATTGGATTGTTCATTGTTGAATTACAAAAATATATCAATTATAGAAAGAAAGCAGAGAAGAAAATGATGGACTGGGCACCCATTCTACTTGGGTTGATGTTGTTCGTACTGCTGTCTCCTGGTCTTCTGTTTCAAATACCAGGAAACACCCGCCATGTCGAGTTTGGGAGCTTCACCACAAATGGCAAGGCCATTCTTGTCCACACACTCATTTTCTTTGGCATCTTCACCATCCTCATATTGGCTTTTGGCATCCACATCCACACTGGCTGATCAAACCAAGCACCTAGCAGTTTGGATAAGGTTTTTGTATTTTTCTTCTTCAATTGTTTTCTAGTCATATGTTTTTTGGGTTTTTTGTTCGTATTGGTCCCTCTACAATACCACATGAAATGGGTTTTTTTCTTTTTTTTGGAGTGACCCAATGATGGGTTCTAATTCTTCTTGTATTAACATCATATGATTGCTGAAAAATTATTTTACATTTTTCTTATTGTATTTTTGTTGATAAATTTACAACTAGATTGGTACTTTTTATGAATCAATATAACAAATTAATAAGCACAAATTTTTTTAATTGAAAAAATACATCTCTATTGGAACTATTGTACTTGAGACAGATTCAGGGGATTAAAATGAGAAAATGAGAAGGGAGTTATGAGAATAAGAAAATGTGTTGGAATAACTGTGAACATTTGGTTTGAAAGTGCATAAACTATCACAGTTTTGTAGGTGGAAAAATAAGGGAAAAAGTAACAAATAAAATCATTTAATTAAAAGAGCTAACCCAAAAATTACCTCTTTATGTTAATAGAGAGCTAATGACTCTTAATTAACTATCTTTTCCGAAAAATATACTCTTTCTTTACTTCAAAATGCTGTGCTTTTTATTTAACTCTGCACATAGTTTTTTTTTCGTGCAAGCAATTGGGAAAGGGCGGTTAATACCAATATTCATTTAGTGTTTAGGAGTTTCGAACCTCTATCCACAAGAATGAAGATGAAAGAGTCCCCTGGATTACACACTGTTTTCATCTTCTATATACTAGCCTCACCTCACGCGTTTTCACGCCTACAAGAGGTTTTTAAAAAAAATTTTAAAATTTATTTTAGAATTAAAAAAGATAATAGGTAGTTGTATTCCATAAAAATAGGATTCATTATCTAATTTTTCTTTTAATTTTAATTTTTTTTAATATGAAAAAGTGTGAATTTACCATATTATCCTAATTTAATTAATAATGTTTGCATTAATCAATGGCATTTTCTGGTATTTTGACACATTGGCGCCTAATCGCTGGGCTGGTCCTCTTTTGTTTTTTTATTATAAATTTCTATCCTCATCATACTATCCAAGAAGATCACAGCCGTCGAAACCAAATAAACAAGATCCTGACACATATTAGCCTCAGCACCGTTGAGCTCGCCTCTTGTCACGAGAAAAACACATGATACCAAGGCCCCTGTCCATTCTTTTATGTTCCCAACCTCAAATCTCTTCAAATTTCCAAAACCCCACTTGCCCTTCTCAGATCTTCTTCTTCTTCGAAACCCATCTAGTATTTTCTTCTTATTGGTTTTCTTCTAGTTTAGGTTTTGCAGAGAAAAATGGCAGACTGGGGTCCTGTGGTGATAGCAGTGGTGCTCTTTGTGCTATTGACACCGGGGCTTTTGTTTCAGATACCCGGAAAGGGGAGGGTGGTGGAGTTTGGGAACATGCAGACCAGTGGCGCTTCTATTGTGGTTCACACAATCATCTACTTTGGCCTCATCACCATCTTCCTCATTGCCATTGGTGTTCACATCTATGCTGGCTGATTAATTATATTGTATTTCAGTTGAATTTAGAGTTTGCTTTCATCTGACATTTAATTTCTTACCATGTTTAATTAGTTTGTGTATTATAAATCTATTGCAAAATTTGGTATTGCTTTTACTTTGAATCATGAAGCTTTGTTTGGTAGTAGCATTTCCTTTGGTCTAAACCTAGCAGGACAGGAGCAGCTTTATTGGGATTTTGATGCAAGTTTTAATGGTTTAGCAGCTCCTGATTTTTAATGGATTCCTAATTAGTATTTACTAGGGGCACATCCATCTAATCTATGCCTCAATCAATCCAATGAAATGGATGGCTATGAAGTTCACCTATTTTGTCATATTTTGGCATAATCCCTCTCTGATGTGGAATATTCTAAACATAATTTAAGCTAACAACCAATTTTTTCTTTCTTTATTCATAATTCTATGAAAATCTTGGTGACTCCTCTTTTTCAATATAAAATAAATAAAACTTTTTTTTTTCGAGAACCAGATACATAGTTAAGGTAGGTGGATTGGTTTGTCTACGCCAATTCAGTTAAGTATTTTCCTTTGTTGGGCTTAGGCCCGTCATATATATGTGTGTATATATACGTGCACGTATATACACGCCAATTCAGCTAAAATCATACACGTGATATATAAATTCAGCTAAAATCATACACGTGATATATATATATATCACGTGTGTATGATTTTAGCTTTTAGGCTAATAGCTCCCAAAAGGGCCAAAATCCAACTCGTTTGTTTACACACAACAAAAATAGGGTGGGAGGCCTGGCTGCCGTAATCAACCGTTGTTTGCCTCTTGACATGGCGAAAGCAGCGGTGGAGCTCCCAAGAGATCGTGGTTGCAGCCCCAACACAACAGAACAAACCCTCCTATCATACTGATACCATAACAACAACCAAGACTAGTATATTATATAATAAGTCTACACACTCCATAAAATTAGTCCGAAATAAAACGGCATGCCTTCCTCTACATTGTCTAAATTAAAGACTGAAATTGAATCAAATCAAAGTGCATGAAATACATGTCATAGGATATGACCCATTAATTGAAGTGCTGCTGAACAAGAGGACGATTTAACAGCACACCTCTTCCTGCTGTACCGTCCTTCAAAAAGTTTGTCTTGATTTTGTTGAGTGTGGCTACAGCTTCTTTCATACTTATCCTCTCTTTTGGTGATTCTGCACAGCAAGTAAGAGCTAATCTCATAATGGCTGATATGCAATCCCTCTTCCTCACATGATCATCATCTTCCTGCTCTGTCCCAATCCCAAGAAAATTGGCATCCACAACTTCATCTATGATTCCACGTGGAAATACTAGTGAGTCTGCAATCCATTGCTTTAAATTCATTTCCCCAACAAACATCTCATCTGTTGGCTTCCTTTTTGTGAATGTTTCCATGAGCACAATACCAAAACTATACACATCCCCTCTTGTTGAAACTATTCCTTCCATTCCATACTCTGCAATATGAATTATATTTGAGTTGTACTTATATATAAATCTAAATGATATTTCATGAAAAGACCATTTTAAGTTGTTGTTCGTAACTGAAAGATATTATTAAATTAGCAAGTACATACCTGGAGCCATATACCCAACTGTGGCTAGGGTCATGGTTTGGGTAATAGAATCTCCTCCACCCAAGAGTTTTGCAATTCCAAAATCAGCAACATGTGCAGCCATATCATCATCTAGTAGTATATTGCTGGGCTTCATATCACAATGCACAATAGGTATTGAATAACCATGGTGTAGGTATTCCACTGCCGCCGCAACGTCTATCATTATGTTCATCCTCTGTAAGATATTCAAAGAATAGTCTTGAGAGTACAACCACTTCTCGAGGCTCCCATTTGGCATGTAATTCAATACCAAGGCTTTGAAATCAAGTTCACTGCAACAGCTGATGATATTGATAAGGTTTCTATGACGAATATTGCTTAGCATTTCACATTCCCTATCAAAACTCTTGAAAGCCCCTTCTAGTTGTAAACTGAAAACCTTTACTGCAACATCTATTCCATCTGAAAGCGTCCCTTTATATACTGAGCCAAAACCCCCACTTCCGAGTAAGTTGTTTTCATTAAATCCATTCGTGGCCCTTAGAAGTTCTAGGTGTGAAATTCTTCTCCAAAGAAGCTGAGGCAACGAGGTAGCCTCTCTTGCAACTTCCACATTTCTTTTCCTACGTAGTACAAATATAGATATGGAGGCCACTAGGATGATTACTGATATGATCCCTAGGATGATATATTTAGCTTTCTTCCAATTTGGTTCAAGTGTAGTATTTCTGCATGGTGGAACATGAAGTCGGGGTGCACCACAGAGTGCGCTGTTTGAGACAAATGATTGAGCAGAGAAGTTTTGGAATGGTCCACCTGTTGGAATTTCTCCTTGGAGCCTGTTGAAAGACAAATCCAGATACCTGAGAAGTGACAGAGCTTCTAAAGACTTGGGAATCACTCCAGATAGATTGTTTCTGGATAAATTCAAGAGTTGCAGGCTTAGCAAGTGGTGAAAAAAACTTGGAATAGGGCCTTCCAAATTATTATTTGCCAAGGATAGAATAACCAAATCCCAAAGACCCCCAATGGTGCTTGGTATAACCCCAGATAAATGGTTATTTGATAAATCTACGACTTCCACAACTTTCAACTCTGCAATATCTTGTGAGAGAGGTCCAATTAGAGAATTGGATGATAAGTTTACATTCACGATATAGGCAAGTCTCCAAAAAGTAGATGGTATTGTGGAACTCAACAAATTGGACTCTAGTGATATATACCTTAGAGATGCTGCTAGATTACCCAAGCAGGAAGGTATAGAACCAGAGAGCTGATTACTAGCCAACTGTAAGTAAACTAGTTTATATAGTTGACAAAGTTGATATGGGATGTAACCTTGCAATATGTTGTAATTCAAGTTCATACCTTGGAGATTTCCGAGTCTTCCTAATGAAGTTGGAATTGATCCACTCAATTGATTGTTTCCAAGGTCTAAGGCTATCAAGCTGCTTATGTTGCCAATACCAATGGGAATGTTACCCCTCATGCTGCAGTTTCTTAAACCAATATGTTGAAGCGTCGATGTAGAGAAATTTGAAAAGGAATCATCAAGTGTGGCATTTAACGGATTAGCGTCCAAGGCTAGTGTTGTCAAACTTCTAAGATTAGACAAACAAGAGAGAATGTTTGCTTCTGGAGTGGAAGTATCAATCGTCAAATTATTACTTCCTAAGTTAAGCCACTGAAGATTTGTTAAGGTACAGAGCGTCCTCGGAATCAACCCTGTAAATGAGTTGTAGCTCAAATCTATCTTGATAAGCGCAGAAGCATTGGAGAGGTTGGGGATTACTCCGCTGATGTCATTTCCTGCTATATAAAGTTGTTGTAGGTTTGGAAGCCCAAGGCCTAGGTTTGCTGGGAGGCTACCCGATAGCCGATTCAAAGTAAGTGACAGTGCTCTCATTGTGGAGATATTGAAGATTGAGGATGGGATGAGGCCATTGAGATTGTTATTCTGAAATAACAATAACTCTAAATATGGAAGATCGCCAATCTCGTCTGGTATAGTGCCTGCCACAATTTCACAAACGTTGTAGCATTAGCATTAGTTGAAAAGAATATTGACTTGGATAGAAACGGCAATTCAATCTATTTTATTCTATCGTGGAGATATTGAAGATTGAGGATGGGATGAGGCCATTCAGATTATTACCACCGACTGCAAAAGACTCTAAATTTTAAAGATCACCTATCTCATCTGGTATAGTTCCTGCCACAATGTCACAACCGTTGCATGTTTAACTTTGTATGGATTTATGTAATCTAATCTAACACTATCTACTCGTTCATGACCTTTAGTATAAAATGTCACACTCATAATATTAGTTAATACAACAATATTTACACGGAAATCTCTAAAAAGTTGTGTTTGAAACAAATTAAGAAATCAGGCCATAATCTGGGGATGAAGATATATGGTTTACAAAATGTCATATTCCCTTGAGCAAAACACGTTTTTGTTTGCAAGTCTTTATAACTCTTCTTCTTCTTTTTCTTCTTACTTTGTTTAACCTTAGATTTGAACATATTGACTTAGATAGAACGTTTATTAGGCAAGTCAATATGTTATATTCATGATTGTAAACCTTGCTATTCGATTTTAATAAATTTTCCAGCGATTTTGACAAAAAAAATTGTTATATTCATGATTAACTATCTCCCTCATTCCCTAAAATATGAAATAGTTAAATAACGATAAATTATGTAACCAAAATAAAAAAGATAAATCATAATATATATATATATATATATATATATATATATATATATATATATATATATATATATATATATATATATATATATATATATATATATATATATATATATATATATATATATATATATATATATATATATATATATGTTAACAAAAGCCGAGTCAATATAATTGGATCACATCAAGGCAAGGCAATGCAACAAATATACCGTTGAAATTGTTGGAGCCAAAGTATATCCCCTTCAGCATTGTTAAGTTCCCTATTTCCCTTGGTATCGTACCTGTTATGTATTCCAAAGAAAGACTCATAATATATATTATTCAATATTTACAATCTATGTCATTATTCCCCAACGGCCAACAAGTTTTTATCATTTGTAGCCTACAGCAGGTAGTCCCTAGTTTCATAAATGCAAGAACATGAATAGACTCAACCACCCTTAAAATTAAAAATCAAATTAATACATAAATCTATTCAAGTGTGAGTTTTTTTAGTATTAGATGACCTGCAAGTAGGGAAAAATTAGCCTAATTTTCTAAAGAAAAAAGAACACATCGGGCTTATAGATTAATAACAAGATGTTAAAACATAATGATAGATCAACAATAGAGTCTAGATAGCTTGTTGACACATAACATAGGTACCTGATAGTTTGTTAATGCCTAGATCTATGTCTAAGGTATGGAACCTAAAAACTGATTGCCATACAAATTGAAGCTATGAACTTAGGCCGAATGTTTATTAGGCAAGTCAATATGTTATCTAATCACAAGACGCTACGTGGATAAGAAGAATATCCTTTAGGTTAATTAATTGGGCCCATTTATTTGGCCAATTAATTAATACTAAAAATAGGGAGAATATTTTAAATATGAGATATTATCTTTATTTAATAAGATAATACCACCAATTTAGATATTATCATCATCAAATTAGGAGATTTGATCTCAATCAAATCCCTAATGGACTCAACCTCTACAATTTGGGGAAAGAATAAACTCCTTCCAAAAAAATTGTTATATTCATGATTAACTATCTCCCTCATATACTAAAACATAAAATAGTTAAATAATGATAAATTATGCAACCAAAATGAAAAAAGATAAATCATAATTGGATCAACATAATGAAATATCAATTACCCGTCAAATTGTTGTTGTAAAGGGATATGCCTTTCATCATTGTTAAGTTCCCAATATTTTTTGGTATGCTTCCACTGAAATGGTTTTCCTCCAAATTAAGTATAAGAAGCTCTCTGCATTGCCATAATTTGGATGGAAGTGGACCATCAAACTGGTTGCGACCCAAATTCAAGATTTGAAGACTAGGAAGATGTTGGCATATATTGTCTGGAAGACCACCACTCAAGTTGTTTCCATAAAAACCCAACATAGTCAAAGAAGACATGTTGAAAACAACCGCAGGAATAGGGCCTTTTAGATTAATAACAAGATGTTAAAACATAATGATAGATCACCAATAGATTCTAGATAAATTGTTGACACATACGTACCTGATAGTTTGTTAGCCCTTAGATCAAGTACTTGCAATGTAGATAAGTTGAAAATAGTCGTGGGTATGGAACTTGAAAACTGATTGCCACACAAATCCAATCTTTGAAGTTTGGGGAAGGACCCAAACCACGATGGAATGGATCCCATAAAATTATTGAATCCTAAGCTAATAAACTTCAGGCGACGTAAATAAGACAATTCATGGGGCAAAGTACCGTAAAAGCTATTATTGTTGAAGCTTAGTGCAACAAGGAAGGAGAGATTGCCTAAGTGTGGTGGAATGGTGCCAGTAAACGCCATGTATGAGAGATTCAACGATACTACTCTGAGGTGACGAGCACCACAAGTAACACCAACCCAGTTGCAAACGGAGGTGGAGGTTGACCAGTTGACCAAGATGTTGTGAGGGTCACTAGTGATATGGGATCTCATAGCAAGAAGAGCAGACTGGTCGGTGGTGATGTTGGTTTTTGCTGCACCTGTACCTATGGAACTGTACTGCAGCAGCAACAAAGTTATTGACAAGAGGAAACGACTTCTCTCCATGAGCACTGAAAACAGAAAGTGTTTTTCGTTTTCCTTTTTTCCCCCCAAGATTGAAAACCTGAAATGATTGAATAATTTGTTGCAGATGAAGGCAGAACAAGTTGACAAGACTGGGATTGCACCCTGGGGGAGAAAATTCGCGAGTAGCCAAATGCAAGGCTTAGTTTGGGGTTGCTTAACTTAAAAAATAAGCAGCTTTGAAAAAAAGTTTTGGAGATTTGGGTGTTTGGTAAAACAAATTCAAGCTGCTTATTTAATAAATTGCTGTCATTCAAAGT